TTAATGGAAACTTCTTAGATGTAATACCTTTGGACCCAAAATCAGGAGATTCAAAACGTAGAGGTAATTGATACAAATGGAGGTACAATTGACGGTATTATGGCTGAATACAATGACCTACAACCACAGATAGACGGAGCTATGAACAAAAATATGTGTGGACAACATGTCTGATTCTTTCTATCCTAATCAATCTCCCCCACTACTAAAATGCCATATTTAGTCGTAGGAATATTTATTTTCTTTTTCTAACGCGGGTATGAAGTCCTGAGAATCCCGCCTTTCAATTACATTTGGCAACCCATCACTGTACTAAACTCTGGCTCCTGCTTGTCATACATCAGCATTCCGTTCTTGCTCAGAGTATCTTGTTATTTTTATCTTATCCGATGATGATTAGTATATGTTAAAAAAAGACCAAAACATAGGATATGTTCGTGTTAGTCTGGAATACATTTCAAATATCATCCCTTTGGTTTTGGAGTGGGTCTGTTCCAATTCTGGCAGTTCAGTCAGTGATGTGCTTGACTAAATGATGTGCTCGGGGAGGCAGGACCTATGGGCAGGACTTAGATCAGACGACGTATCCCTAGCACGGACCGCCCGCGCTCCAAACCCCCCTGGCCTATAAACATGTTGTCAACACAACAAATAGTATTTTATGAATAGAATATTCTGTCTATCTGTGGTTATAGGTCATTGGCTGAATAGCATTAGGTACAACAGTTTTGAGATTATTCAATTTTTATTTTCAAACCCAATTTTTCTTTATAGAAATAATGGATGATCATCCCGGGATGCCGGGATTTTGTTTTTTTGGCCTCGAATATCCCGTGATCGATACATAGGTTCATGGCTGCAAGCCGTAGTAGACGTGATACGATGATTGAAATACCTATGTGATTTTAGTGTGTGATATGTTCTTGGAAATGATGGATACATAGGAATTTGATATTGTTTCTATGCATACAACTCAAACTCGAAGACTTCTGAATAGTTTTGTCTGTATATTATTATGACAGCTGTCATTTCAATAGAAGTATGCTATTTTTAAGGAAATGGTAAAATATGTTTTTGGTATTATTTCCAATTTCCATGTACTTTGGACCTGAAAAATTCCTGCTTATGTCATGTCTTGATTGAGGATTCAAAAAATACGAAAACTTAAATTGTGACAGCTGTAATGTTAATGTGTTCGCTAGTCACTACCGTATTCGGGATTCCAAACATGGTGTTATTCAATTTTTTATGGAAGTGGTAAAAATATTGTTTTGGGTACAACTTTCATATAGTTTAACGCCAAGGAGTCCCAATATGACCTGTTAATTTCCGTAGCAGTCGCAGTTTGATGTGAGTGAAAAATTTATCCAAAAAAAAACGTTGTTTGGAATGTTTATCTTATCTTTACCTACGACTACTCTTGTAAATAGTGGAAATCAGATCCATCCATGTGAGCTCAATGTTATGCACAGCGTGTGTAATGGTAAAGTAAAACGCACGGGCATAAAGCAATTACTCAATCAGAAGAAACCGTTAGCGCTGTGACATAAGAGATGAAGAACAGCTTTATCGAAAAAAATTTCGAAAAGATCCAGAGGAAAAGGATTATTCAGAGGTCACACAAGCCTAACAGAATCAGAAAAAAAAAACGCAAAGAACAGAATTATTCGTCCATGTGATACACTTTTCCTTTTATCTACTCTGCGATTTGAGACATGTTCTGATTTCACACAAAGTATTGAGATACTCGTCCGGAAATGGTATTATTTTCATCTATTTTGGACCTGAAAATTAATTTTTGGACACTGTTATTTTGATATGTTTCGCATTATTATTACTTAATTAACCTTTGAGAATTTTGAATGTGATATTGATTTCCAAATATGGCATTAAAGTTTTGGTGCTTTATAGGCTCAATTTTGTACTTTTGATTTGTATAATATTGTACTGAATTATTTTATATTTTAATAATAAGTAGTGTACCAGTAAGGTGTGTTCAGTAAGGTGAACGGTGAGAATTTTTATTACCTTTTAAACAAGAAATCTGCTAAAAACTAAATGAAAAACAAATAGGACCTACGTTGTGAAAACTTACTCAATTTTTACTTACTGCAAAATTAGGGAAATTTAAGGGCAATGTGATATGTAAAAGAAACGAAAAATTTGTGACACGTCTACTTTATTATTAAAATGAATCGTACCGTTCACCGCCTGGAATTCTCGAGGGAAAAGAGAACGGTAGAGAAACCCTCGATCGATCATTCCTCAAAAATCAAAACATACTGTGTCATTTTAATGATAATTGTGAGTCAATAATCAATAATTTAAGTCAATGATAAAAGTTTAAATTAGGTACCGTCCTTTGTCTTTGTGCTAAAATTTTAATTCCACGCACAACATTCATTTAACACTACCTATATTCAATACTGGAGAGTTTTTTGTATAATTAGTTTCACCGGCAGGTACTGAGGTCCCATACGGGAAGCTACTCAGCTATAGTTGTTTTTGAGCCAATATCTCTAGATTGATTATTTCAATTTGTTTGCTAGGATATTCGCTCGTCAGGGTAGGAAAATGTAAGTAAATTCAAGATGGCCCTAATGCACGCTCTGAATCCCCAAATTAAAATACCAGCACAAAAGACAGCACATAATTTCTTTGGTTTTAATTTAGCCTTTATCTGTGCTGTTTACAGCATGAAACGATTTTTGTTAAATACATGAACAATGCACATGTTACAAAAAATGTTATAAACAAACAAAAAACTAACATTAAATTAAAAAAATAAATAAATAATACTTGTATAAATTAAACTCTCAAAACAAAATAACATTTAATCAACTAACCTGTGAATGCTCCTTACACAAACTAATCACAAAAACACAAACTTGATTTGACAATAAAGTTTAATACAAATAAAAGAAATTGGAAAATCAACAATGGCGGATCTAAACCTCTTACTTGGTTTTTCTTTTTCTGTCTTCTACCCTTTCGATACCTACGTTTTTTCGTGGCAGCGCCGCGTCCTCGTTCTCCCCTAAACCTGTAATGCGCCGTGAAGCATTACATGGTTGCAACATTTACCTCTATTCAATAAACGTTTCTTTAAAAAATTAAGATTTGAAGAAATAATATTTTAAATAGGTGATTTTCCTCATAGTAGTGACCTTTGGCAGTTTAATGTTAATTCAATCGTACAGATTTTATCGCATAATGAATAGCAGAATAGGTATATCCTATTCACAATCCGTAGTCCAAAGGTAAAGGTAAATTTATCACCTTTCCCTGTCAAATAGTACTGAACGGTGATAAATTTTACCTTGACCTTTGCACATCGGATTATGAATAGATAATACTTGGTTCCCTTTATAGCAAACGCATTCCCAACTATTCGACTGGATAGTCTCCTAATCAGCTTTCAGTACTTTGATTCTCAAAACATGAAAAAATTGCCGTACTTGAACTAAAATTGATATTATAGCTTCAAAGTATTAGACGAAAATGTAGAGAAACTCAAGGGTGATACGTCCGATATTAACAAATTGATTTTTTTCAGTCTTCACTGGCTTATACCCCTAAAAACGTTCGTTGTCAATTTTGGAACATTGGCATTTACTGGTGCAAGAAAACTTGTGAATTATCTAATTGGAAAGTAAGATAACGTAGAAAAAACTTTAGCGTAGATTTAGCCAATCAATAAATAATTCTCATATAGTTACCTACATACTACTATAAATAATCAATTTATTATACGTTATTATTTTTAGCCCTTGGTTGGTAGATATTATAAAAGGATTTTTGAAAAAGTCCCTTCATTTCGGAGTATTTTTTGTTCCACGAGTTGTTAAAATGGCTTTTATGACGTAAGATTTGTAGATTTGTAGAATTTAGATTCAAACCACAGTTAGTCTCCATTTATTAATTAGGTACCTATATCAGAAACATAATTTTTTTTTTTTTTTTTCATTTAAACTGCAACCTTTTTATTATTTTTCTCAATGAATTTTCGCCTTTTTTTTTGCTATTTCTGTAAATTTCTGTTTTTGCTTCTACTTCACTTCGCTAAATTTGCGATTCTGATGAATTGTTATGTTTCAGATTATACTAACCTTGCGGAAATTGCACAAAATATTGGTATACAATGAGATTAGCGGTAATATATAAAAAAATCAAATTATCAAAATATAGTCAGTGACGATTCAAAACTGCGATCTCTTGCTAACATTCCTTCTGTTTAACGAAAATAATGCAATGCCTTCCCTACAACTTTGCAATAGAAAATTTAAAAATAAACCATCCTTCCACTTTCGAGGGATAAAATTACATTTTATTGTGTTTATCTAAATAAAAAAAGTGAATTCCTTCCAATATCCAAGCTTGGTATCAAGTTTCATTTTTTCCATATTGTACTGTTATGCTTCTTTCTCTATTTGCATGTAATATTTTTGTTTGCGTTTCACTTTGCTTCCTCTAGAGAACGTTTCCTTACCCCCCACACTAGAAAGTAGCTATGTAGATCTTAGATCTAGAGTTTTGGGAGCACTTAATGAAAAAATATAGAAAAATTTATGACATTCGGTATATTTTAGCCCTTGGATTCGTCATTTGGCGAAAGAATCGATTGAAAAATCAGCATACTGGTTGCTAGCATATTTCCCAGGTCTTCTAAAGATTTCAGCAACAAAGTAAGAGTGATTTTTTTTTTAGATTTTTTGCATACAATAGCAAAAAAAAAGCACTTAGATCGCACTCACGATATTTATTGAATATTGTACCTATTGTAAGTTCGCTACCTGACCTCAATTTGAGTCTGGTCTTTGCTTTCGTTCCGATTTTTATGCTCTGTAATTAGCGATTCAGTGAATTAACTCGACTTAAACATTGTTTATGGACAGCAGGTGATGACTGCGTTTTAATACTGATCGAGACCTGATTAAGATTATCCTATGTTTTATGTTTTAGATCTAGATTTTATTAAAATACCAATTTTATTCTTACAGTCTTATTTCCCACCGGAAAGATCCCTATGAAAATAATAATGAGATTTCTCCATACGGAGTCCAACCAACTAGACAGAAACCGAAACGACCTTTAACATCAATAGAAATTGAAAGGATGATTGCCAAGGCTGAGAAGGAGGCAATAGTGAGTATAATTCGGCTTACTGTATAATAAAATAATTTATTTCCTACATTTTAAAATATCTGAAATGCTTCAAACTACATATTACAGGGTGTATCAGGATTGATTACAAAAATTTTAACACTTGAAAATATGGCCCATTTTTATGTAAAAAAAATTAGTCCATTCAATTAATAAGTAATTATGCATTTTTAATCGACAACAATAATAAAAAATTGAAAAAACAACATGACAATTTCACTCGCAAATCGGTATCTAAATATCTGGCAACATAGCACAAAAAAGAATAGGTGATTGAACCTTGGTTGTCAGATACTTGTTTAGGCAGAATTGTTGCAAAATGCTCATTTAGCCGGCAGAATTTACAGTGAAAGATTTCCGAAGAAAACCACACCTAATGGGGCCGGATTTTTGTCTAAGGGAGTAGAGCTCCCCGAGAGAATAAATTTTTCGTCTTTATCATTCTCGTTTATTTTTCGATTACGTTGATAAGGACAAAACATTCGTTCTATCGGGGAGCTCTACTCCCTGAGACGAAAATCGGGCCCATATGGGCCCGTTTCTTAAAGATTGTGTGATACGGGAAGCGTGAATGTGCATAATCAAAATCTGCGTGTGGATTTTAGTGTTTTGAGAACCTTTTAATAAAAATGTATATTTTCCTAATAAGAATTTGGCAAGTAGCTGAGTAAGTATTATTACATTTTTCTCTTGAATGTTCATTGCAAAAATGTCATTGAGTGCAATTGACAACTTAATAAAACGGCCCATTTTTAATTTTTACTAGAAAAGTTATTATTTCCATTATTTGAAAGCCAATAACAAACCAAAACGTAAACAGATGGAAATAAATAAACTCCTTGCAAAAAAAAAACCTTTCAAATTTACCAGTTTTATTTACATTTATATCCTGAGAGAGATTATACCTGTACAATGTTGTCACGTTGTTAACATTTTTCTAAATTTAAATTCTGCGATAACTCCGAAAATACTAACAATTGACCCATGGTTAATAGGAGAGTTTTAGCTTGAAATGGGACATAATCTCATGTTAAAATATTTGGACTCATACCTGATACACCCTGTATATGCATATTATATGTATACCTACATCAAAGCTTAATGCATCAGTTATACCTAATGTAATCACATAAATAACCAAGTAACTGAATCTTTTTATCGCTCCAATGCCTGCAAAATGTATAGCATTCATAATTGTCCTCTATTGTGAAATAAACCGTATTATTGTTTATTCAACTTTAGATTAAAGCAAGACTGGAACAAGAACGTCTACGAATCAGAGACGAAAACTTGAAGCTACAAGAACAGCTCAATCAAGCTATAAAGCTTCAGGAAAAATTGAAGCATCAAACAAACTATTTACACCAAAAATTACCGCCTACAAAAATATCATCATCAGTACCTTATAGCCATAAACCAGTCTCATATAAGCCACCACCGCCTTTAAAAGGATCACCGTTTGAAGCAGGAAGTTTGTCAATGAATATTGGTAAGAATAAATTGATTTTTACTTTAGATTATTTGTAACGTGACCAACCTGGGGCACGTTCTTCTTTTAAATCATTCATTCATGGTCTCCCGAGTTGAACAAATAAAAACCGTAAGCGCACCCAGAGTAAATCGGCTTAATTTTGTAATTTACTAGATCCAAATTGTTATTGTCATGGTCTCTAAATTTACTTTCATCTTTTATTATTATAGAAAGGATCACAAAAACAAATTATTTCAAGAGAATGTCGCTGAATATAATTATCTATTCTTGATTTGATCATACAAAAATTACTTTCTTCTAGGTCCGGGTATTGATCTTCCAGCTGGCTACATATCTCAGCATAATCTACCACAAAGGTCACAAAATCCTCAGCAGGTACCACAATATAAACCAAGCTTTTCACCAGATCAGCAGTTGGTTCAACAATACCAATCCAGTCAAATTTATAGCCAGCCAATTAATCAAGTTCAAGTTGCACAAAATCCTGGTCCAGTGTATAAACCACAAGTTACACAAGTAACAAATCCATTGGCCAATACAAATCTCGGTTCAACTGTTCAAGTAAATATACAAAAATCAGTAGAATATGATCCTAGAATAGGAGCGTTTGATACTAGTAACGAAGTTCTTGGTAACCAAAAATCTGTTGAAACTCCTGAAAAAACGTTGACGATTTCTAAGCCTAAACTGGAAGAGGTAAGTCTATTAATTAGGTATATATTTATAAGATTTGAAATCTTGAAATTGAAAAATAAAGTCCATTATAATTGTTTCCATTTTATCACAAGCGCTTCTTATGGTGAAAGTGGAACATCTTCTTATGTTGTTATTTTTAATACACTGGTTTAATTAATAACGAACGCTTGCAAGTATGTATTTCGGTCATTACCCCAATACCGCTAATTTCGCAAAAAAAACTCGTTTAATAATAAACCAATAATTAATAATATTTTATAGGCAATTTACCAAGCAGCTACAATAACCTTCGACAAATTTTACTCTCCAATTCTTCAAAAAATTGACAAAATTTTGCAAGGACTAGGATTTAATGACGAACCCTGTAGAGAAAGGTTGATTTGCAGTATGTACAAACATCCCACAAAATTCAGCCCGCACAGCAACTTAATATCCGCAGAATTAAGCAGGTAAGAATTTATCAAATATTGTTTCTATTTTTCTTTTTTACGCATAATTTACTTGCAAAATTACCGAACATTTCTTCCATTGGAATTTATAAAACGAGCTCACCTTGACCCTGACACATGGTGACACTGAAAATTTCTTTAGAATCCCGGTTACCTACCAGTAGGTATGGCCTACACCGATGTGAGCTGTTTTTTTGACTTCCTAAAATGTATATTGCTTTCGCAAAATTATAAACAGGTAACGGTCAGTAACATTGATATTTCAATTTCGCTTAGATATTTCTGGTTGTTCATGTGAAATAATTTAACATAGGTAAAGTATTACCATTAACAATTGAAAATCGCATCTCTATGGTGACTACTCAAAATTAGAAAAATACCCCTTATAATAATATAAAATAATTTTTATATTTTTATGCCAAGTCCTGGTACACTATAACAAAGACGCCGCACGCCCGCAAAAAAACTTGAAAATTGTTGGCGATGCCGCTAGGCTTTGTCGCTTGCCGACAAAGCTAAGCCGCTCTTGTTGACAGTGTGAGATATTCTCTTTAGAAGTGGACAAAAGTATAAAATTACTCAGATAATTGAATAAAAATCAATTTCAAATTTGAATTTTTAATAAAGGAATAATAGTCCCATTCAAATATTTATATTTGATTTATTTCAATAGTTTAAAACGGAATTTTAAGGATTACCTACTATATGAATTTTGCCCATTTATTTAACGTATTAACTCCACTGTATTCTAGAGGTAAATCAGCTAGAATTTCGGGGCAATGGCGTTCGTCATTTCAGTTTTTATAGAAATATCTGGAGTATGTTTATTCTTTATTAACCAATTTGTTTTCATTTGTCATGATAATAATATTTAGACGCCTATGGATTCCCACGTGACTTCAAAGAGATCAACTGAGCCGCCTTTTTTATGAAATTTCAATTAATAATGGTTAAACTTTACCTTACATTTGACACAAACCTGTTTTCTATTTTATAGTAGTGTCACGAATTACGGGGGTTCACTTAAAACTCCCTTTCCTAACAATAACCACTTTTATTCACTAACTACTATTACATACTTACAAAACCAGAAAGCCCTAGAATATACTTTCCCAATCAATTCTTCCAGTGTATTCTTGAATTTATTATCTTGCTCTTCCAGGATATTCTCTAGTCTTGTTTGTTTCTCAGAGATTAGGGGTTGCGACTTGGAAAAACCACGCGGAAAGTCGTAACACAGCCGCGTCCTACCTTATAATAACCAACCAACTCTCAATGTTTCGTGATTCTTCAGCAACAGGCATAATTTTCTAGTGAAAAGTCGGTTTTCGGCTTATTTGGACTTTATTTAATGAAATATCTAAATCAACAGCCAACGTTTCGACGCATTCCGCATCATTCTCAAGGCTAAAAGAAAACATGCAAAGAACGTTACAAGCATTTCACAACGATTAACATTTTAAAAAATGACTGACAAAATAAATTAACATTTAACAAAAAAGAAGCATTTACAAAGGTTTAAAAAATAAATTAAAAAATGACGTATAAAAAAGAAATTAACATTTAAAAAGTTTCAACAATGACTATTACATAACAAGAGATAAGTAAAATGAGTTTCACAAATTATATTTTTGAAAAACTATCAATCCAGACAACATAGAACCAATTACCTAATTTGACTAATAAAAACGTCGTATTGTTATCTACAAAATACCTTACCAAAGTTTACCTTACCTAGATTATTAAAGCTATGAATCGCATCATTCGGACCGATTCATCAATAACAACAAACAAAAAAGTTCACACACCAAAGAGCGGTACTATTGCTTCTTTTTTGTTAAATGTTAATTTATTTTGTCAGTCATTTTTTAAAATGTTAATCGTTGTGAAATGCTTGTAACGTTCTTTGCATGTTTTCTTTTAGCCTTGAGAATGATGCGGAATGCGTCGAAACGTTGGCTGTTGATTTAGATATTTCATTAAATAAAGCCCAAATAAGCCGAAAACCGACTTTTCATTAACATATTCCTGGACGAAAACCACACTGTGTAATAATTTTCTAGGTTTCATGTATCGATTGAGTGAAGGTGTATAGGTACCTAAGTATTTGCCCAACTATAAACTCCTTCCAGAAAAACTTTCTATGAGCGAGCTCTCTAGCTGGTCAAACCCATCCTTCAGGCTGAAGACAATGACAAATACAAGGTATAAAATACCGAAAAATCGAAATTTTGTATCGTGGCATGGCGAGTAAATTGTATCCTGTATCCATTTATTCTGGGTTATAACATTGATACACATGTTATTATATTTTTGTCTCTTGTCACTTGTACCTGTATTTATCATTGTGACTTCAGCCTAACAGAAGAGTTACACGGAGTTACATTTTTGGTGCGGCCAGAAAATTGTTGGCTTATATAGGGATCTCTATCGTTGAATCCTGGGATTAATCAAGCTATAAGAATCTAGATACTTTCTTTCTCTGCCATGTGTGTTTCATTCCTCCATCAGAGCTCTTGCATCCGAACATTGCAGTTGCGCACCCTCACCTACCTTTGCATGCAACCAGTTGCAGAATTTTGTCAGGTGCAGGCAGCTGGTTGGAATTAATGTGCTGTAGGCTGTGGCTTTTAAGCATTCGCCCAAATTTTCCTGGCTCCCTATAAATAAGGGACTGACTGACCTGCCGATAGTTGTACTTGAACAAAAACGCGCATTCAATGTTGGTGTGCTGCACCTGTGGTTGGAAGACAGAGGCTATATTTGATGAGGATTTATGAGCCGCAGACTTATAACATTTGTACCGTAGCCCATCTGGGACACTTGCTTGTTTCCACCGTACAAGTCGGCTATACATTTCGCTCCAGCCGCCAAGATGTTCTCGACGCATCAATATCTTTCTAAGATATTTTGAAGGACGACTGAGGTCGAGGTTTTCTCCTTTCTTTGATTAAACAAGGCGAGCATAGTATCACACTTGCTTCAAGCGTGCAAGAGGAGGATGTGCTGAAACTATGAAACCACGTAGGATGGGGTCTCCCTTTCTCCGGTTTCAGGAAGTAGACGTTGATCGCAAGGCCTATCAACAGTACAAGTAAATCAACATCCTCTCGTGTTGTGATTAGTGACAGTTGATGCCAGAAAGAGTTCTTGAGAGTCCTTTGGCGTCATGTCTTCAATATAAATTATCTCAACAACATGCTTTTTCACTGCCTTCCTGGAGCGTTCTACCTGGTTGGATCTGGCCGAGGATTCACAGCATGCGTCAAGTACAATTATAGACTCGGAGTTGTAGTGTCGATGTATCGATATGCGTACAACAGATGTTGAAAAAAAAATACAAGTTGTCGATAACATGTGGTAAAGCATCGATCACATTATACACTGTTTCCCCGGATATTGTAGCGTCCAGCATTGAGTTGAAACACTTGTAAAGTCTTGGTTCCGTTCCTTTCCTCATTTTCCCTTCCTCAAACAGGAGATGAGATAGGGGCCAATGGTATCTCTACGTCAAATTATTTAGCAGTAGTCATTCTTTAGAGAAGACTGGCTGCATTGACGATGACTACTTGGTTATGGACGTGAATGCCAGTGGCGGCTCGTGGTGAATAACAAATACTAATGAATCATTTTTCATCAACCGCTCACACAGAATCAAAGAGAAAAGTATGTAAAGTAAATTTTTAATAATTTTTACTCGGTCATTTCCTTTGAACTTCACTGTCCTGAAATCTCCACTATCATACGTTGCGTACCCAAGTCTCTGGAATTTTTGAAATTCATTCTTTCACCTCCGACAATCTCGGTACTGTTTTGAGCCATTTCGGGAAAAAATGGGTCTTGCTCCAACCAAGCCAATATTGTGCAGCCATCTTTGTTTTTTCTTGCCGGGATGTTGAGAATGTCTAGAATTGACACCATAATATATTCCAGCTGCTTCAGTAATTTGTGCCATCAATGTTTGGGTTAGTTTTCTTCTAACGATTTCGCGTAGGATCAGTACTTTTCTCCATATTTGTTTAAAAATTTGACTCAAAACTTTTTGGAATATTACCAGTTTTTCAAGAGCTGTATCTCGGTAACTACACACATCAAAATAGTCTAGGGAACAAGATGCAACTGAATACATTTATAAATTGGACAAAATATACTTTTAAAAGATTTTTAAATTTTGTTAAAGCCTGCTGGAAAAGCCGATATGATAAATTTTACAAGATTTGTTCAACAAATACCCATATGGTATCTTTTAAAAAAAAATTATTCTACCTAAATATTAAAAGACGAATATTTCTTGTTCCCTACACTTTTTTGATGAGTGTATTTGACCCACAGGGCTGCAATTAAGTTCAAAGTATGGAAAATTTCTTTTGATCATAGGCGCCGGAATTTCAAAATCACCATGGGGGCTCGGGCTCCAAAAATTACCAGAAGTAGAATTAATTATACAGACAGGACTAGACTACTACATACATAGGGTTAAATGGGACCACTTGACAGATAAAAATTTCACTGCATATTATAAAAAATTCGTGTGTTTCCGGCAGCTCGGCTATATTCGGCTTGGAGCAGCCAGAATTTTGTCTTGAGGAGAGGGGCAAAATTCTAGGGAGAAATCCTTGAAGCTCCGCCGCAGGCACGAAATTTTGGTCTTTTTACGGTATTTTTGGGACTTCTAATGGTGGGCGCAAGCGAGGATGCGGCAATTTTCACAAATTTTGATAAGAATTTATAGTAGAACGTTACTTTTATTATAATATCATATACAGGGTGTATATTTTAAGTGATACCACTATTGCTATATCCGATACGGTAAGTGCTACAGGGTCAGTTAAATTAGGAAAAAGTTGCCAATTTTGATGCCCATTCAAGGCTCGTTTACAATGTTGCCAAATTCCTTTTAGTTTATGAAATACAGGGTGATTTCTGAGAAACGCCTAAAAATATTTCATCAATTATTTCGGAAACTATTGAGTTTCGAGATACAATTTGAGTTTGAAAGT